TACACAATAGGTCTAGTGGTTTCTGGGCTTGCTTCTACGTGTGGGGTCTTGGGTTCGATGTGTCGAGGAGACAAACTTTTTCGTGTTTGTTTCTTTGTTTAATTATAGCTGTAAGAGTGTAAATATATTCATAAGGTATGGATAGAATATCAAATAATTCAATTGGTCCAGTGGTTTCCGGGTTTGCTTCCATGGGAGTGGTGGTGGTTTCGATCCGCTACGGCTACAAAATTTTTTTTTAGCATTTCCAAAAACGACGTCGCATCATTAAATTCACATGTTCTCGTTCCAACAGGGTTTCCAACGTGGCAGCTGAGTCATTCCCCGTTAACAATTTGACGGGGTTGACTAACGGATGCAAAGTCAATGCAGGAAATGACAAAAAAAAACAGGTTTGGGCATGATTATACACAATTTAAACAGTTCAGGTACGTGTGGGCACAGCTCAAAAGTACAGGCAGGAAACGGTACCAGTTCGCTCGGTTGAGGCGGCCGCTTTCCCGTTATATTCCATATCCAACCCGAAAAAAACCAAAGCAGATGTAGCTAAACGTCTTACAAGTGAATCCAAGAAGGAATATTTCAGGACATTATGAAGATAAAGAACCAACTCTCTTGCAACAAGAGAGTGATGATGCTGTTATGCTGACCACAATTGAAGATATCATTGTTGAAAATCGAGTACACAGAGTAAACCCGCTAAATCTTGATTTTGATGTCGGAGATGCAGAACCAGAAGATGAATTTATGTGTAATTTATCATCATCTGATGATGAAGATGAAGACGAAGAGAATCCTTATTAATCTGTGTATGTTTATGATTACAAAACATGAATAAAATTGTTGTGTTGTAAGATAAATTATGTTGATTTTTTTTACAAAAAATTAGAATTTTACTGACTGAATAGCGACTGATCTCCTACTAAAGGTCCAAAATTAAACTCACTAATTGAGCCCAACCCTAATCCCATTAACAGGCCCAATAATTTTACTAAGCCCACTAAACCCCGATTAACCCTTAATCGCGAAAAATCTCCAAATCACTTTCTATTCCACGAACCCTAATTCCCAAAATCCCAAAAGCTCCCTTGAAATCGATCCCTTTTCGATTCGATTCCAACCCTAAATCGACAGATAAACGATCCCATACCCTTCTAAATCGATCGATAAACCATAATTTTCAGTTCTAATCGATCGATCTTCTTCACCGCTGGTCCCGAAACCCTAATCGATCGATTCCCAACGACCTTCGATATCAAGCCTCTCCTGGAATCCGATGGGTGGCCGTGGAAGGAAGAAACACGGAGGAGCACGAGGAGGAGCCGCCGTAACTCCGTTACCCAGTCGGTATGATTTCATACCGGCGACATCTCCACCACCGCTGGTCCCAACCTACGCGCCGACACATGTCCGAGACTATCCACCGCCGATGGAGCTCTTCCAGAGCTCGCAACAAGGAGGCCCTGAGTTGCAACCACCGCCTCAACCTAGAAGGTCAGAGCAATCGCAAATTCGATTCTCTCCATCTCCTCAACACCGCTTCCAAGACCAACCTCATCGGCAGCATTCTGCATCACCTCATTCTCATCAAGGAGCTTCCGGAGCTTCTTCTTTCTCTCAAAACCGAGCCTCTCCATTATCTCAAGAAGGAGGTAATTCTCCACACTCTCAACAAGCTCATTATGACGGTGAAGAAGCTGCATTTCCAGATCCTTCTGAAGAACAAGACAGTGCTGTCAATCTCTTTGAAGACCAGCTTCAGATTCTTAATGCCTTGCTCACAAAGCCTGGAAGAGAGGCTTATACTATGGTGTTGTCTCCCATAGAGAAACCGGGTACAACGTGGTAAGTCTACTTCCTCTAGCTTGATTTGTTTCCTTCTTCAAATGATGATCTTGATGACTTCTTCCTTTGTTTTCTTTGTATGTAGGTTTGGTCGTGACAAGTCCTCACTTACCCGGAAGATTACCAAGGTCTTCACCAACAAGTTTGATGGCCCTTTCTACAGCTGGACTCGTGTGCCTCGTGATAGGCAAGAGCGTTACTTCGTGGAATTCGCGGTAAGATCCTCATTTTCATTTATATGTGTTTGTTATTGAGTTTGTATCTATGTATTATTCTAACATCATCTCTTTGTCTCTTGTTATTGTAGAAAACCCACACCTGGGATCCCTTGATCACTGGTGTGGTTCAAGCCAAGTTTGAGAGTATTTGCAAAAGCAGGATGAAGGATATGGTCAGCACCGTTAGGACATCAAGAGTGCAACCTAACTGGATCGGCGATACACTCTGGGAACAAATGACTGAGCATTAGGACAAAGAAGAATCCAAAGAAAAGAGTTCAACCACTTCAGCTGCTCGATTGTCTGAACGTGGCGGTCTTGGTCCTCACTTTCACTACTCAGGTCAGAAATCCTATCTGCAAATCCAGCAAGAAATGGTAACTTTCTACTCTTTTATTATTCGTTAAGTGTTAGAGTCTTATGAATCGATGCATAACTTCCCATTGACATATTTTGGTTTATCATTTCAGGAAGAGGAATTAGGTAGACCGGTGAGTCTTGGTGAAGTTTTCATCAGGACTCATACAAAAAAGGATGGGAGTTATGTGGATGGAAAGGCAAAGAGAGTGGTTGAGACTTACCAGAAAAACTTGGAACCCAAGTTGTCTGCCATCAGGACTGAAAACTCAGAGAATCCTGAGGGTACATCACCTCGTCGAGAGCTAACTGTAGAAGAGGAGAATGACTTGTTTCTACAGGTACGGTTCAGTTTTCTTATTTGGGTTTTTTTTGCTAACTCTTTTTTTTCCTCGTCGAGAGCTAACTCTTTTTTTTTTGTATTCGCAGTCCACTATTATGAGTGAAAGAGGAATACTTTATGGAGTTGGTAGCCTCTCTAACTTGTATGTAAATGGCAAGAGGAAGTACCCAGGAAGCTCTGTATCCTACAACACTCTGCAGGAACAGCTTCAACAAGCTCAACAGCAAATAGAGCTCCAAGCGGCTGAGAATGCACGGCGTGAAGCAGAGTTTGCCAAAACTACAGCTGCGCAAGAAGTCAAGCTCGAGAAGCTCACGATGGTTGAAAGGTACTTGACTCAAACTGATCCACGGTTCAATGATTTTTTGGCTAGTCAAACTCCTCTATCGACCACTCCTGCTGCGAAGTCTCCAACACCTGCTGATCCGATAACTAATGGAACCTTAGAAGAGTAGGTCTCTTCTCACTTTTTTTAGAACCTTAGAACTATTATAATGTCTCGGAAACTTAGAAGAGTAGGTCTCTTCTCATTTTGTACTTCTCTATAATGGTTGTATATTGTAACCATTTTAGATATTTTTGGTTTGTATGCAATGACTTTTATGTAAATTATTTGTTCCTTTTGCTTTTTAAATATTCATCATAATTTTAGAATTCAAAAAAGACTTTTTAGAGCATTGTTTGTAATCAGGGTTTCAAATTGGGAGTTTGTAAACAGCAATACCAAATTGAATATACGATGTTCAAAATAGTCGCAAACCAGTCATAAATTAGTCGAAAAATAGTCACAGATCAGAAACAAATCAGTCGCAAAATTGCAACAAATTACTATTCATTTCTCGACATCAGTGACATCAATCGGTATACAGTCGCTAATTCGAAGGTAAATGGGTCACGAAACAGTCGTAACTTGGTCGTTATATTTAACGACTAATTACCTACGACTCGTATATTATTAATACGACTACATTATAGTTGTAATGGAGTCGCACAAGTAGTCGTAAAGTAGTCGTTAAATTTGCCGACTA